TTGCCAAAGAATGGGCTGGCAAAACCAGCAGAGACAGCTGATCTGAACAGGGGAGAGCTCTTGGATCCCAGACCGACAGCAGGGAGGCCAGCATGGAATTGATCTGGACCCCCCCCCCCCCCCCCCCCGAATGTGAGTGTCAGTGAGAAGGCCTGGGCAACCTATGGGGCCCTGAGCAGTGGATCAATGTTTATCCCTGGAATACAAACAGCCATCGTGTACCCATAGCACAAAGAGGGATGCTCTCTCAGCCTGGACTCTTAGGAGAGTGCCTGGACCCTACCCTTAGTGAAATGACAGACTCTAGATATTCCCTATGTGGAAGGAATTGGCAATAGGGTGGGAGGCTGGGGGGGGGGGATGGGGGAGTGCAGGAGGAGGGGAAGGAGAGGGAACTGGGATTGACATGTAAAACAAGCTATTTAAAATTAAAATAAAAAAAATTTAAAAAGATGTGTGTGTATACACACTACACACACACACACACACACACACACTTGCATGAGGGGCAACTTGCTATGTACAGCATGATCAGAGTGTGAGAGGTAGAGAACAAGTCCTCAAAATGCTCACCCATCTCCTGCTGTCTCAACACACAGGGTTCCCAGCAGCAGCATGTGTGGCTCACATGCACACACACACACACACACACACACACACACACACGGTCTTGCCTGTGCTGTGGTGTCTGTCAGCCTAGTTGCCACATGTCAGCATCTTCACACCAGGGCAGAAGGAAATCAGAAATAAAGTAAAGGGGCTGGAGAGATGGCTCCACAGTTAAGAGCACTAGATGCTTTAACAGACGCCCTGAGTTCAATTCCCAGCACCCACATGGTAGCTCACAGCCATCTATACCTGTAGTTTCATGGAATCCAATGCCCTCTTCTGATGTACAGTTGTATGAACAGTCAAAACATCCAGATACATAAGATACATACATAAGACACATACATAAATTAATCTTTTTTAAAAATAGAAGACAATCATGTGAGGGCACAAGTATTACTTGGAGATGGTGTGGTCTTGTAGGACAGTTTGAGAGGGAGCAGACAAATACAGTGAGTGTCTGCTTGCTCTATACTCAGATCTGCTCCTGCCCCTGAAACATTGTAGAACTTAACTTTGAGTGGGCAATGGGTGCATAACAGTAAGGCATTAGGGTGTCAATCACACATAACCTCCCTACTGACCCTTCCTATCTTTTACCAGTTGGAGGCTTGGAGTTCATAAAAAACTGCAAAGAGAAGAAAGTATTGGAATTAAAATCTGCTTCCATCAGTAAATGAGAATTTAATGAAATTGCAGGTGACCCATATCCTTGACAGACTCAAGGCTCCATCCATCCCATCTCCAGTCCACACGTAGTGCTCACACAGGTTTCCTGATTAAGGGAATGTAGAAGGGCGCACACCCAGGGGCCTTGGGTCTGAGTCACTTTGCTCTTTCACATCCCACAAGTGGGTCATTTATTGGACACAGACATAACATAGTGGGAAGGGCGGTATTTGGCGGGTGTTAGCCCTACAGGGTGATAAGGATGGGCTGAGAGACACTTCAGTCTTGAGATTCCTGAAGGCTCTGGGACAGGCAGAGATGACGTTAGCGTGTGGTGATGGGTCTGTGGGCTGCTGCCCAGGAAGGACTGATCACTTAGGGTGGGTCTAACCCAGACATGGCAAAGGAGGGAATAAGGACATGAGCCAAAAACAAGCAAACTGCCCTCTGCCGTCAGCTGCCCAATTCTGTCCATTCATTGTGACAGTCACCCTGTACTAACTCATCCATCAGCGGTACACACTCTAACAGAAGCACACAAAGGCAAACTGGCTTCCTTCTGGCCAAAGCTAGCACAAAAGTGGGGAGCAGTGCACCTGCCTGGGAATCACCGCCTTCTTCAGGGGTTCACCCCAATGAACAGAATGTCTCACAAGAAAATCTTAAACACCCAGGTGACCATCGGGTATGCCACAGACTCGTAGAACCAAGGTGGCGGTGGCAACAACACAGAAAACAACACAGCCTGTCCTGCCATTCTCCTGGCGATGTGCTGACAGATGGGTGACATGTTAACAAATAACAGGCGATGACAGAGAATGTGGTTCCATTAATATCTCCAGGTCCCCCAGGGGCAGGCCACTGCCACCTCTGCATATGTGAAAGAAACCCGTAAATAACATATCACAAGATGCCTGTAAAGGAAAGTCTCTCCAGCATAATTAAACGCATACTTTATAATAACATGCTGGGGAAATCCATGCCTGTCTTTGATATAGGGAGACAGAAGCAAGCTTGTCGTCACTGGTTCACTCCAAGTGCAATTATGCACTTGGCTGGTGTTTCCAAATCTAGTACTCTGAATACCAAATTTCAATGCATATGGCTATCTCTGCTTTTTCTGAGTGGGTAAAGAGATGTCCTAACTAAAGATTTGTCAACAAAGATGGTTACCCAGGGGTGCAAGCATGGAGTGGACGTATCCTGTGACCCCATGGAGGACTTGTCCATCCCTCAAGAGCACTACAATGTCTTGATCACACGCACACTGCTGATTGCTCATGGGTTGCAGTTTCAGGAATGCCATGAGACTCTGTGAGATTCCACATGGCTACTTCCCTTTAAACAAGAAGAAAGGTATGTAAGTCTGGAAGACTGAACCAAAAAGTGCTCAGGAGGAGCACTGGTGCCTGGTGTGCCTCATTGCACACCTTCAATTCTACTTAGCATGCCCCTGTGGTGACAGACCTCCATGGAGAGGGCTGGGGCAGCCCCTGAGCTGCTTTGCTGGGAGGTGACAGCTAGGTTGAGTCTCTTACAGGTGCTGCTAAGTCAAGCTATCTTTGTGAGCAGCAGGAAACCCAGCATCACATGCTGACCCAGCCCATAGGGACAGGTCACATTCAACATAGCAACCTGGCCCTCAAGCAGTCAATATCACCCAGTTTCTACCTATGGATGGATAGAACACATCTCTCCTTATTCCTGAGTGACTGAGATTACTTTCACACATGTGAGAAAGGGGAGTCATGTTTTCACACGGAAATTGTTCAGTGAGAAACTAAAATACATCTGTTTCCCACTGTCTTGTCTAGGCAGAGGGGTTCAGCTTTGTGGCTACCCAGCAGGACCCCTGGCAGAGCCACTGCCCCCATACCATGTTTCAGGGTCCTTGAGAAGTGGAACAAAGACAAGGGCTCTGAGAGTTGACATCATTGCCTAAGGCCCTGGCCAGAACTGCGGCCAGTGAGGCCAACCATCTGGGCAGGCCTGAGTCTCCAAGTCACAGAGCCCACTGCAAACTTGGCATCATTACTGCCTTACAGGAGCGCCTGGCCTTGCCCTCTCACAGCTCAGGGGTCCTCCCACCCCAGGACACCAGAGTTGCCCCCAACGACTGCACCTTCACTCAGATTCTGGCTGCCTGGAGACCCCTGTGGTGGCCACAGTGAGTCCCAAGTAAAGCTGTGCTGTGGGAGATGTGTGGGGCCAGGCTGTGTTCCCAAGCATCTGCTTCAAGAGATGCCAAGTCCAAGACTGAAACCCATGAGGACAAATGTGACTAGTGGCCGCCACCCTTCCATTTCTTCAGGAAATGGTTGTTGGGTTCCCAGTATGCACGGGGCCCAACACTGAGAGCTCCAGGGACAAAAAGGGGCTTTCTGCTCCTCTGCTACTCTTTGGCCCATCCCCTGCTCCTGTCTCCTGTGGGGGGGACACCGTGGGGGGGGGACGGCAGCTCTCATACAACTAATGAAGAAAATGTCTGCGGACAATATAACCACTGTGGAGCTGCCTCAAACACCTCATCCCTGCCAAGAGCCAAGAGCAAGGTCCCTGCCTTGCTTGGAGCCCTCAGCCTCTGAGCCTCCATGTGACAATGACCCACCTCCCCAACTAGGGGAGTCTGGCCTCAGAGAAGATAATTCACCCATTGTGTGTAAATGCCCACCACTATTTGCAAGGCCACTGTCCCTGTCAAAGTTAGGCCCAAGTTTGGGCCACCTCTGAGGCCCAGCCAGGTCAGCATTAGGACTTAATCATCCCAGAAACATTCTTGTTCTGAAATTTCTCTGATGCAGATTGCCCTTTGGGGTTGATCTGCATGAGAAGCAGACCACAGCCACAGAGAATAAGAAGCCTTGAAGGGCCTGGCTAGGAGGCCTCGGTAGTCACCATGGTGACCAGCTGATAGTTTCTCCTCATCTGAACTTACATCTTCACGAGAAGGGTGGGACAACAGTGCCAGCTATACAAGTCCCCAGAGGCACACAGGAGAAGATGTGATAGAGACAGCCACCCCGGGATGCCAGGCTAATGCTGGCACCAGACTATCTTACATGGTGCCTTCACTGGCCCAAGAGAGAACAGGAATTTTCTCAGCACACACACACACACACACACACACACACACACACACACACTCACACACACACACACATACACACACTCACACACACTCAAAGACACACGTATATACACATCTACTTCCACATACATGCACATATATGTATACATATGCATACACACATCTATAAACAAACATGTACCCACAGACATATGAGTGCATATACACACATATATAAACAAACACACACACCTAAGCATGCATACACGCACATACCTGCATACACACATATGCACACACACGTACACACACTCAGCCAGCTGCCCATAGCGCTTCTTGTTCCTTATTTTAGAAAATGTATCACGAGTTCCTCATTGTCGGAATTACCTAGAAGTTAAATATGCTCTCAGGGAATGAAAACGAGTCCAGCCTCTTACTGTCATTCAGGTATGCAATTCCCACCTGCACACATCTGTTCTCACATACCCGTCCCCCTGTGACAGAGACCTCCATCTCTGAGTGACGGTGGCTCCACCCAATGCCTCCTCTCCAGGGAATCTTCCCTGACTTAACAACTGGTTTACACAGCAAATCTGTGTCTCCCATCCAACCCCCCTCCTGACATGGCTCTCTGTGTGGCCCGTGGCTGACTCACCTCTCCTTAAAGGCTACTGGTGGATCTTCGGTGTCAACCAAGTCCCAGAGCGCAGAGGCTTGTGGAGAGGACGCGAAGCTGGTTTCACAAACACTTCCAGGTGGCGTAGATGAGACGCGCAGGTGAGACGTCCAGACACAGGCCCTACCTCAGGGACACAGCTTGGTGCTTACTCCCAGCAACTGTCCATCTGCCTCCACCCTCGTCCTGCATGGCACATTGATCTCTGGCTGTAACATTGATCCTTTATTGGCTAATTAGTCCCAGGCTAGCTAATTGATCGCAGACTGGTGCATTGATCCCAGGCTCACAAGCTGAAATTTCACTTGAATTCCCCTCAGAAGGAGCAAGTTAAATTGAAGAGATTTATTGATCTGAAGTAGTCACTGAGCAGCATGTCCCCGGCTCCCTAAATTCCCACACAACCATCAACAAATCGAGAACAGGCGTCCTGAGACGGGGTATTGGCGTCTGTCTCCTGGCTGCCTATCCTCCAGCCTCTGCAGCTCCTTGGGTACCCCACCTTGCAGAGCCTGCGTATGGAAGAACCAGCAATGGGAGCTCCTACCACGGTGGCTCCACTGTTGTGGGAACTCATTCTGCCAGTGGCCTCGGGGTACCAGCCTTAGGGTGTGGCTTCTTGTCTGCTTGGCTGCTTAAGAGGAGAGAGAGGTCACAGGCTCTCTTGGGCAGTGAAGATCAGGTCAGGCAGCGGCATGTGGTCGGTCCCCAATTCCCTTGGGTGAAACAGAGGGACTCTGCAACTGGATATATCTTGTCCTGTGTCCATGAGTCTGTTTCCCCATAGCACCCCCTTAATAAATTGGTGCATGTGTGTGTGTGTGTGTGTGTGTGTGTGTGTGTACATGCGTATGTGTGCTTTTGTGATTCTCATTACACTCCACAACAGTGACAACTAGAGATTGAGGAGGTAAGGGCTCTGTGCTCCGCGTGCTAGGCCCTGTAGCCTGAAAGTGTGGACCTAAAGTGAGATCCATCTGTGACGGCCAAGGGGAGCCAGGCATCTGTTTCTACAGGTGCAAAGGCAAGGCAGACTCAGCTGGCAGAGGGGCAGTCAGCAGTCAGAACAGACGGGCAAGTGGAAGAAAACATCAGCACGGTGAGTCCCCACAACTTTGGAGCTGCTCAGCCCACTACCTGAAACCCTCCATTCACCAACGTTCACGTTGCCACCAGGCTCTACGCTGGTTGATCTTCCTGCCACATGTAAAATGCTCATCATTTTCTCTCTGCTCCCTGGGGAGGTATTTGGAGCAGAATGGCCCAACCCAGCCTCTTGGCCACCATGCCAGGAAAGCATTCTCTCAGCTGCAGTGTTTCTGTGGTGAACCTAAGTGTCAGCTCTGAGGTGGGTCCTGTGAATGGGCTGTCTGTGAAGTAAATGCCAATGCATCCGTATATGAGGAGAGACCAAGTGTGGAGCAACTCCCTCCACTGGGCAGCTTCATCTGCCCTGTAGTGATTGCAAGCTCCAACTCTCCAGTGCCCATGATCACAGTCTCTCTCTCTCTCTCTCTCTCTCTCTCTCTCTCTGTCTCTCTCTCTCTCTCTCTCTCTCTCTCTCTCTCTCTCCAGACACTGATTTTTCTTTCTCTTGTGACTTTGCTATCTGGGAACTTGGAAAAGAGCAGAGCAGATAGTCCTGGTTACCCAACACTATCCTCAGCCACCCCTGCTCCTGATATCTGGTGTGCTAGGGATACCAGATGCCCTCGCTGAAGTCATGGAGAGCTTACACATAATAACAGATCTGCAAAAAATATATAAAGATGTTAAAAGGAATAAATAAATAAAGACACTGCTAGCTGGAGAGGCTGTCATTGCCAAGAGAGTCCCCTAATTCCATCAGAACAGACACACACAATGCACACGGCCAGTTTTCTGTCACCCACCAACAGCATGCAGAAAAAGCTGGAAAACAGAAAGGCTCCACTTGTTAGCCCAACAAAACTATGAATACGTATCAGAGGAATGTTAGCCAAATGTGTGGAGAAGAGCCTGGAGGTGCTTGGCTATCCTGCCAGCTGAAGTGAAGCCCCAGGTTCTGCCTGCCAGGCTCCACTCACCCTGATTCTGCCTAAAGAATTGACTTGATGACATTCTTCATCTATAAGTCACATGCAACTCATGTGAATTGACAGTGGAATTTGGGAAGAAAGTTCTTAAAATAGTCAAAGTCCATACCACTCCACACATACCCAGTCTCATAAGCCAAAATGATCGTCATTTTCATTACTGAAATTTAAAAGGAAAAGAGGTAAAACAGTAATAAATGAAGACAGTTGCGCTGCCAGACAAATCTCAAACTGGAATGAATGACTTTTTATTGGGGGCGGAATAAGGAAGGAACAAATAGAGCAGGAAGCTGATATCAGATGGACAGATGTGCAAGCCCTTGTCCCATGATGAATGGGGACTCTGGGAGAAAGGGTGGCCATGCACCTGCCCACCTTGGGTTGACAGCAGATTTCTCTAAATGCTCTCTATCTCCAAAACCAGTTCCTCATGAAACTGAACACTTCTCGAATCCCATGAGGACAGTTGCTGTTTTTATTTTCTCAATCTGCCACCACATGTCCTTTGCAGGTAGAAATAGATTCAGGAAAAGAAAGAAAACAGTGGGAAAACTTTAAAAGGCTGTGGATTTTATGTGGGGAAAAAATACCTGTCGTTCCACCAAAACGGGGGTTAAAAGGCAAGCAGGAAAAGAAAAAGGAGAGTAGGACTGAGATGCGGTAACCATGGCTCAGCAGCATTCTCGGTGTTCTCGGGCCGCAGAGATGGGCAGGGGGCATGGACAGATGATCAACCACACAGACGTGGGGACCCACACTCCTGGAGAAACCCTCAGGTCTTAGAGGAAGAACACTGTCCAGGGGTAGGAAGAGTACATAGCACGGGGGAAGCACAAGTTCAAAGTGCTGAGACGCAGCTGAACAACAGACTGTGTCAGAGATGAACAAGCTTTCTTTGGAGCGGACACTGTTGAAGGTTACCCTGTTTAGCTTCAGCTGCCAACTTGACACACCTAGAGTCATCTAAGGGAGCCTAAACTGAAGGATTGCCAAGGTCAAATTGGCCTGTGGCCATGTCTCTGGAGAACTGTCTTGATCGGCGATGGATGTGGGAGGGTCCAGACCACTGTGACAGCACCATCCCTAGGCAGATGGACTGAGCGGTATGAAAGCTAGCAGAACACGAGACTGTGAGGCAGTCAGAAAGCAGCCTTCCTCCAAGGGCTCTGCCTTGAGTTCCTCCAAGGGCTCCTGCCCAGACTTCCCTCGATGAAGAACTGTGACTTGGAAGTATAAGCCAAATAAACCCTTTCCTCCCCAAGCTGCTGTTGGTCAGATTGCTTTATCACGGCAACATAATAAAAACAGGATAGTGTCTGTCCCAGATGAGACAATACATTACTCAGCAGGTGTCGTGTGCTGAGGAAGGTCTCAGTGAGCTCTGTGAGGACTATGGTTCAGAGTCCCCGAGATGGCCGGCATGACGGATACTCACACATAAGGTCTTGGCCCTCGTGGCCTTCCAGCTCTTCTTAGCCCTTTGACTCAACAATCACATTTTTCTTCCAGTGACTTTCATGATTGTCTATCCAAATCCTTAGAGGTTATTATGTGCTACACATGTCAACCGTATTCCTGAATGTTCACTTTAAGAAGCAAAGTAAGCGCAAAGATCGCCACACAAGGTTGTTCCCAAGAAACGTCCCAAAAAGTGGTGAGAGCAGAGGCAGCAAGAGAATGGCGGAGGCAGCAAGATGATTCCTAGACGCCTATGCCATAGCATAAGATGCTTGCAGTTATTTTTATTTATATCACAGAGGGACATCTGGCAAGCACAGGACCATGAACACACACACACACACACACACACACACACACACACACTTTTCTTTCAATTATAATCACATTAAGCATTAGCACTCTCCAGTGCTGCCCAGGTGATTCTGGTTTATCTGGTAGGTGTTCTTCCCATGGTGTGACTCAGCTTAGCCAGCCAGTGTTCTGTGATCTTCTTCGCACGGCCCCAACGGCTGAGACCTCTACCACTTACTGCCTTTTCAGACAGCTGAGAAGCTCCAGGACAGGTGCAGCCCCTGAATGGGCAGCAAGGAACCAGGAAGCTTCCCTCCAGGTGGGCAGATGCTCCTCAACTCGAAACTCAGAGGCTCGGTCCACTCCCGCAGCCAATCAGCCTAGGGTTTTGTGAGTCCTTGTCCCATACACAGCCCCTCCTGGTCCCAGTATCCATGTGTGAACAGGTGCCAAATGGGGAAGCCTTGAAAAGTATCAGTTGTTTGGAAGACTCAATCCCAAATCCAAGACTTTCAAATTACACTTTCCTTTCTACAGAGAGGGAGTAGAGATTATATGAGCAAGGGGGCTGGGGTAAAGATCATGATGGGGAAACAGACAGAGACAGCTGACCCATGCTCATGGGATCTCACGGACTCTAGACAGACAACTGGGTAACCTGCATGGGACCCACTAAGCATGTGGGCAGCAGTTGTGTAGCTTGGTCTGTTTGAGGGACCCCTGGCAGTGGGACCAGAACCGATATATCCCTGGTGCATGAACTGGCTTTTGGAGCCCATTCCCTATGATGGGATGCCTTGATACAGGGGGGAGGGGCTTGGTCCTGTCCCAACTTAATGTGCCAGGCTATGTTGACTCCCCATGGGCCTTACCCTTTCTGAGGAGTGGATGGAGCGTGGTTGCAGGGGAGGTAGGGAGAACTGGTGTTGGTATATGTAAAATGAATAAAAATTTTAAGAAAAGAACAGATAATGTTGTATCCACTGAAAAGGAAGAAAAATCACAGGATAACATGGATGTCGTTTGTCCCCAAGCAAAGCAGTGTGGTGAGGTCCTTCTGGTCTCTCCTTGGAGAGCTTCAATATTAAGCACAAATCTCGGTGTGGAATGTCCTAGTACTCTGCTTCTTCTTATGCCAAGACAGCCTTAGTCACCAGCATGTGGCTGTGTCCATTGTTGGCAATATTCACCTTCAAAAGTAAAATGTGGAGGTTTGAAGAAAATGGCCCCCATAGGCTCACAGGAAGTGGCACTATTAGGAGTGTGGTCTTACTGGAGGAAGTGTGTCACTGTGGGAGCAGACCTCCAGGTCTCAGAAGTTCAAGTCAGTTCACTTCCTGCCGCCTGAGGATCAAGATGGA